GAAGGTGATTAGCCGGTACATCGCCAAACCACCACTTGCACATGCAAATACGGAGCTTAAGCCAAAGCGCCTGGCAGGGGTGTTTAGGGTTTAGGATTTGGGGTTGCAGGTTCCGTTTGTAGTATATGGAGCCCTCCCAAAATTGGGGGTAGCATTTGTGAATCCCATAATTATGAAGTTTAGTATATTAAGGTCTATATTGCGGTCCCCCTATCTATGGAAACTACCACATGAACCTTCTTAGAGATTTACTCCTCCTAAGCCTTGAAGCACTACTAGTAAGCACAAGACAGCTCCTTTCAGCATGTAAAGAGCCCCAAGGACAAACACGCTCACTCGCTGTTTGGACTGGGCACCCCAAGCCCGAAACCTTAATGCCAGCATTGTCCCCCATCTTGCCCCAATAAAATCCTGAAGGACTACGCACCCTAAACCCCAAAGCCTACGACAGTTATCCCTGAACCAGCCAAAATCCAAACCCGGGAAATCCCTCTTGCATGGGAGATTGTCAGAAGTACACAGCGGACTCAAAACAGAAAGCGCAATGTGGCGACCTACCACATGCCTCTTGATTACGCCTTCTACTTGGGATGCAGAAGCACGACTACTTCATCCGCTGAAGTCTTGCGCAGTACCCTCCCTAAACCCCCAAAACCCCTTAAACCCCCCAAAACCCCCCAAAACCCCCCAAAACCCCCCATCCCAAAGTCACCCCCCAAACCGCTAAGTTACCCCGATAGTCAGTCCCCGCCTCAGGAACTCGCAGCCTGGTTGGACAACCGTACCACCCGGAGGGGCCGGGCACCCTGGTGGAGTGAGAGCAGCACCTTAATCCACAGAACTACCTTTAGGGGTTTAGGGTTTTAGGGTTTGGGGCTTTAGGGCAAGGGGTGGGTTAGGGTTTTGCTTTGCTTTACGTAGGAGTTTGAGCTGGTAAGTTTCAGGATGTCAGGCATCGGGGTTGTTTTGAGGTGTAACGCTTTGGGGCCTTGACATGCTCAGGGTGTATGTTCACAGGTTTGGGTTGAGGGCTCGTCCTCTGTATGGGGTAGCCCTACAAGCCACCTAGAACCCAAAAAGTGAATGAGGGGCATGGGAGAACAACTATTGGTAGTTCCCAAGGTGAAAGACTCTTTCCACTAATTATGTCTAGCGCATGAACCATATGTTGCCGTTATGATGTGATCGAATAGAATAATGCATCTACAAAGCCAATCCATTTGCATGTGGTCCACGAAGAAGGTTAACCAGGAAAATCGCTAAACGTCTGGGCCGCATGCTTCCTGTAGAACGCTAGTCATAATCTGCCACGTCACCATGTCACTATCCCCTGGGTTTTGGCTTATGCAAACCGAACGTGCTGCAGAATTCCTCCCGCACTTCCCCCGGCATTCCGAACCTCAATATGGATCCCAATGGTACCATAATCCTGAGCAACGGGACCTCCTAACGGCACGCACCCTTAATTTTTGAAAACCCTAAACCCTAAACCGTGTATATCCCTCTATAATCCCATATATCCGCTTAAAAGCTACCCCTAATTTTGGGACGCCTTCCATATCTCTTCAGGGCGCCATCCTCCTGGCAGAACTCGCAGAGCTCCTCCCAGAGATCAGGCTTTTCAGGCCTGGGCGCGGGCTGCTTATTTGAGGATTCATAGTTAGGCTATTTTGAGGGGCTTAAAGCGGTTTAGGGTTGTAGGTTTGTAGCGGTTTTCGGTTTCGGGTTTCCGTTTCAGGGATGAAGTGTGTCGGGCTCAGTTCAACGGTGTTCCCTAAAACAGTAGACCCCTAGTATGGGCCCTTAGTCCTGGGGTGCTGATACCTAATATGTGCCCTACACACTCCGGCAAACCCCTCCACTATACCCAAGTGAGGGCTCATAGTTACGAAGGGAAAACAGGTAGGGGTCCATGTTAGGCATGCCAAGCACGGTAAGCCCTTGTCCCTACACCGTTAGCGATTGTATGCCGTTATAAGGTGACTATGGGTGTCTCCCCGTAGGGACTTCCCTCGGGATGGCATTGGAGGATCTGTGGGCGGAGAAATCGCTTGGGGCGAGAAAAATAGAGCAGTTCGGCAAAGACAGAGTCGCTTGGGATGAATGACTCTACTTGGTGCATCACGTTTGAGGGTCAAGCCATGGGACAGTTTGGGCGTGGCCTTCAGGTTTTGGATGTTCGGGGCTGTGGGTTTTTGGCTTGGGGTTGTTCCAGGACTAGGATTGCGTAGGGTTTGCGGTTTAGGGCTTGAGTGTTATAGGGGCTAAGGAGTTAAAGGGTTAGGGTTTGCTCACATCTAGCCATAGGGCTTTCTGAGGGATGTGAATTTGGGATCTAGAGGGGTCCCCTATTTACGGACACTACCATGTGTCAGGATGTTGGAATCAGTCTTGGTGGCATCCTAATGACAGCCCTGTTTTGCAAGGCCCAAACCTGAATCCTAAACCCTAAACCGTTGGTCCCCCCTCACGGTCTACTTCACCGTTCATGACGGCATTGCCGCGAGCGCCACCCTGCGATACGCGGGTGATAGCCAACGGCAAGCTTATCTTGATATGATGCAGAGCTCGAAACCATCAATTTTGATCCTCTTCTTGACAAAACCCTCCAGGCACACCTCCATGCGCTTGATGGAGGAAATCTCGCACCACTTAAGATCCTCAATAGACTGCAATTCCTAGGGTCTGGGATGAGCAGGGTGGTGCAAGATTTCCTCCATCAATATTCCCTAAACTGTAAATTCCCACAACCCTACCCTCTAAACATTCTCCCGGGGCTTCGTTGACTTGACGAGCGGCGTGGTGAAGAGGTTGTCCTCACTCTCCGGATCGATGAACTGGGTGGAAAGCTTCCTCTGCTCAAGGCGTTTGACTGCCAGGGTATCTTACTACCCTCAACATAATAGTAGAATGTAGTATAATATACCTGCATATATGCACGATCATTTTTCATAGCCTATCATAGACTACTGTACTACACTATAATCTGCCACCATATACTATCATATTATACTCTGTTGCAATCTACTATGAGATATTACAACTACTTACGCAAATGGGGGCTTCTCAAAAATGGGAGTAACATTTTAGGGGTCGCCATAATACGGATTATGATATGTTTAAGTCTGTATTGGGATCCCTTAGTGTATGTATGAAAAACTACCACGTCGTGCCCTCATGCTCGCCTTCCCCGCGATCCTCCTTAGTATAGGCCTTAGGGACCGCTTTAGTACATGGCCCTCACCAAACAATTTTTGCGGGGGTGGTCAGTCTGAGTCTCCACATTAGCACGGGATCAGTAGGAACTGTGGAGCCCTTAGAAACTTGCATCTACCTTTCTTCTGAAGCACGTATCTTAGATTTTGAGCTTCATAGTTCCGAATTTACTCATATAGCCCTTCAAGCCTGGCATTGAGATACCCCTGCAAAAGCGGGTGTGACAATATCCTATGTAAGTTGACCCATGGGTTCCGTGGACAGGTACCAAGAGTCTGGGCACCGCAGATGCCGTCTGTCGTGATGGCGCAGCCCCAAATCTTGACAACAATGTTGTTGTAGTAGGCATTCCTTGGCAGGCTTCAGGGTGAGTGGAGTGCAGACCAAAGTTTGGGGGAGAGCTATGGGATCATGAATACGGAGTTCCCAAGGTTGTTGTAGTAGGCAAATCTCGGCAGGCTTCCTGATGACTTGGGGCTCTCGAACCTCCCCATCAAAGCTCCGAGGCAATGTAAAGGCCTAAGTAATTCTAACAAGGTTTCAGGGCGCATGCTGCGACAGATAAAGGAAGACTGCTGGTGGTTATTCACGACTTGCGGTTGTTGGGATTAGGGCTCGAAATCTGGACTTCTCTCTCTCGCGGGGTTGCCCTACACCAGGAAAAGAACTGGGAAATTATATAGGGATTATATAGGGGTTATACAAGCAATATATAGGGATCATATAGGAGTTATATAGGGATTATATAAGGATTCTATAACCCACAGATTTCCGAGGCCTGGCCTAAAGCCTAGAGCCACCTTTGACCCGTAGAGCCTGAAGTCTATATACTGAACCCTAAGGGTCCAAGGACTCAAATAATGGGGGTTTAGGGCCCAAATACAATAATCTGAATGGTATTTGGGACCTGAAACCCTAATATTTGGGTCCTTGGACCCTTAGGGGAATCTAGCCCTAAACCCTATACCCTAAACCCCTGCTGAACCCCAAACCTCAACGCCTTGATCTCCGAACCCTACGCTCGAAACTCTGAACCTGCATCCGAAAGGACAAGCCCTGGAAGGAATTTCCAACGGGAGGAATTTATATAAGGGGTATATCGGGATCATAGGAAGTTATGTAAAGGTCCCCTAAACCCTAAACCCTAAACCCTAAGGTCGCTTCATGGTCACTCCCCTCCTCCAACTGCCTCAGATAGAATACACATGCATGCGAGTGTCGGGGTCAACGCCAAGTTCCTCTCTCCTCCATACCTCATCTGAGTCAAGCCGTCATGCCTAATCCCCTAATAAGGGGACCCCGAATGTAGATCCCCTTATTATTTGGACCCCCTAAAAGGTACCCCTAATTTTGGGAATCCAGGAGCCTGTGCGGGACTCTCTGGGGCTTCTATTGATGGAGGAAGGCTGGGACGCCTAGCAATGCCGCGGATTTAGGGGACTTTAGGGTTTAGGGGTTGGGGTTTAGGGTTTGGGGTTTAGGGTTGAGAGTTGAGGGTTTAGGGTTTCGGGTTTAGGGTTTCGGGTTTCGGGTTTAGGGTTTGGGGTCTAGGGTTGAGAGTTGAGGGTTTAGGGTTTAGGGTTTAGCGTGCACATGTTCCTCCAGGCCGACAAGGGTCATGTGTGGCTTGCTATGGCCAAATATGGTAAGCTGCTTCCAGACGGTTGCAAGCTATCAGCTGCAAGTATCAAAGTACCAGTCGGGCTGCTCTGACTGGAGTGGGAGAAGACGCTTTTGCGCTCAGAAATGTAAAGTATTGTATGAATACATGAGATTATCAAGGCACTTAAGCCCAGACCGTGAATTCGCAGGCGCTGTGTTCCTTTGCCCCCGCCGGCGGTTTTCCTCTTCTACGGCAATCATGTGATACGACCAATAGATTCTGGCAAGGCAAATCCCAGGCATCTTGTACTGCAATAGCAGGCCATATGATTGGCCTAGGTCTTTGCGTGTACTCCATAGAATGACATGAACACTTGAAGTGACTAATCTTGGCGCTTTCGGCTTCTAACGAGAGCCTAGCCATCAGTCAAGCTAAGCCCAGGTACAAGGGCTGACTGTTGATCTTGATGCGCACGCAGCTGTCCTGCATGGACATGATAAGAAGCACTGAAGATGTACTAGCATCAGGGCCCAGGCTAGTGATAAGAGCATTACTTATAACCACGGACAGTGCTCTGCTCATGTGAGGACCATGCGTGTAGCAGACGGCCATCTATCACAGCTCGAAGCCCCTTCGGCACTCTTAGACTGAACCCATAACATAAAGACTGATTCAGAAGCCTAGATAACTACCGATATTCTTCTGATATAACCATGGTCGAAAGATGTATACTATACCCAGAGCCCTACAAAATTGATGTATGCCCCGCATTCGCTTGATGAAGGGATTAGGCGGCGGTCATCGCTGACGATAATCACGCCCGCAGCAGGGTCGATCTCCTCTGCTTCTGGCATTGAAATGGTTTAAAATTTGTCTAACTGGTAGTTTCCCAAAATAAGGGAACCCCAATATAGACCCCAAAATACTAGAGTCTTTATTGTTGGGACCCCTACAATGGTACCCCTAATTTTGGGAAACTCCCAACTAGAGCCTCCATGTACCCTCTATATATGCTAAATAGGGATCATATATTTAAAGCTTAAAGGGTACAGGGAGGATCCTGGCGGATTTTGGAGCTACATCGCCTTGGGGTCTTGGGGTCTTCAAGGGACCTATGTTGGAAACCCCCACAAGCTTTGAAACTCCTTGCCCAAAACCCAAGACTGGGCTGTTGAAATACTACTTCAAATGACCATTTTTAATCTGTGTTGGGCCCCAGGCATACATAAACATGTAAAATGTTGTCCAACAACAACCCTAAACCCTAAACCCCTAAACCCTACACCCCTAAACCCTAAACCCTAAATCCCTAAACCCTAAACCCTTAAACTCTGAACCCCTAAACACCTAAACCCCTAAACCCCTAAACCCCTGAACCCCTAAACCCCTAAACCCTGAACCCTAGAGCTGGTCAGGCTGCGGGAGTTTTCAAGATCTTCAACGTGGCACTCTCGACATTGGGGCTGCCAATCACGTATTCGTCGCCCACCCTCTTCACGATGTACCTGGGTGGGGACTGGTATGAAAGGTGGTTGTCCAGGACCTTTTTGGGTTCTGTTAGACCAGGGCCTCTAGTGTTCGGAGCAGTACTCAAACATCAGGAACAAGCCCCTAGTTGCAGGGCAATGTTGAAGATCGAGCGCTACGCACACTAGTGGGAACTCATGTGAGGAGCATCTGCTTGTCACTAATGAAGTAAGGCTACATTCGTCTGACAAACTGGCACAACCATATCGAAACATCTAATCGTTGTCTATCGGGGGGCTCTCGCAAGTATCCCCGCATAGACGACTACTCACGTTATGGCAGCTTCGCGCGCCGCTTGCCAATATCAGCTAGCCACTCTGCAAGCAGTTTAGACTACAACCACTCAAATAGGATGTTAAAGGTTTAGGACGTAGGGCTTCGAACCATCGACTTCAGTACGTGGGAGCTCTCGAGAGTCCCTCCAAAGATCTCCCTGATGCTCACCAAACAATTCCAGGATCACCGGGACAGGTGCATGTAGACACACAGGTAGGGTTTATGGTCTGGGGCCCTCAACCCTAAACCCAAAACCCTAAAACCCTAAACTAACCCTACACCCCAATGCCTAGACCGCTCAGTTACTTGTCTCCGCCGTTGATAGTGATGGCGTAGGCGATGGCGGAGCTGAGTCGGGTGAAGAAGTACTGGCAAAAGAAGGCCTGTACCTGCATCAGTGCCCAGATTTATGGGTTTCGGGTTTAGGGTTTAGACCTAACCCTAAACCCTAAACAGTGGTTTCTTTTTTTCTGAAAGCCTGTACCTGCATCACATTTGCTTAGACTTGAGGGTTTGGCGCTTAGAGCTTTGGGCTCGATGCTTGGAGTTGGGGAGTTATGGCTTAGGGTTCACGGTTAGCCATACCCTACGCCTTGGACAAGCCTAGATCCTTCGCCCTGAAACTCCAAACCCTGAACACAGAATGTTGGACCCGACACCCTAAACTCAAAGCCTACAGCCCTACACCCCATAAAACCCTAAACTTCAACACCCTGAATTCTCGCGCTGTACCCTGGTAAGCTTCATCTACCCAACCGGAAGAACGCCAGGGGAAACCCCAACAAGGCCCTACAAAGACTACTCTCCTTTGACGAGGAGACCGAATCAGCCTGCAGTGTCTGTCTGTGGGGGGGTAGCACAGGAAATCGAAAAGGGTGCCGCCGTTCATAGGGCCCACCCTGTGCTAATCCAACACAATGTCGAAATAAAATAGGTGCCAGATGACGGGTGGTACCCCAAACAATGCACATGTTTCGCAGAATGCGGCAAATAATCCCGAAGCCCTCCTCATACCCCAACACCCAAACCCTCGTTCTGAACGCACCCCAATTCCTCCACATAAGCCACCCCCCTTCCTGCCTCCACAGTGCCACCGCAAGTCTCCGTCTTAGCCAGGCGCCAAATCCCCTGGGGCTGGAAGTCGAAACCTGAATAAGAGACTTTGCCATTTAGGGTTTAGGGTTTAGGGTTTAGGGCTTTGTCATTCAGGGTTGTTTAAGGGAGATACTACCCCAATAATGGAGAGTCAAATGAGCCATAGTCTAAACTCCTATGATCCCCCTTAATAGCCCCTATAATGCTCCCCTATACAACCCCCTTAAAGGAGTCTTGCTTATAGCTCAAATGGAAAAGGAAATGCAGAAAAGAAAGGGAAACTGTGGATTATGTAAGGGTTAGGATTGGAAGTTCAGGATGCAGGGTTCTGCGTCAAGAGTGAACCCTAAATTGCTAAACCCTAACCATTAAACCCTAAACCCTAAAACCCTAAACCCTAATCCTTAAGCCTTAAATCCTTCGAGGCACCATGAGGATCGCAAACGGAAGCTTAAGCAGGTTCTTGCCGCTGAGAAGTTACCGTTAAGTGTAATCTGGGTAGCTTGAGGTTTAGGGTTTAGGGTTAGGCTTTAGGATTTAGGGTTTAAGGTCCGGGGTTTTCATGAAATTCATTTTTCTACATACTTTTGGGTGTCCGGGTGGGGTTCAGAGTCCGGGGTGTAGAGTGCGAGCTTATGTCCCTGGCCCGGGGTCTTATATCTCTTGGACTCAAGCTCTGGGTCTTCGAGTTTGGGCCTGGGTGGGCTTAAGAGCTGAAAGGCATGTCAAACCTTAAAGTAAGTGTGATCAGTAGTAGTAGTAGTAGTAGTAGTAGTCGGAGTAGTAGGAGTAGGAAGTAGTAAAGCTAAATCCACAACTGCAAACCTGAAGCCCTGAGTCCTCCACTTCAGGGGTAGCTGGATGGCCTCGAGTTGAAGATTACTCGAAGCAAAGACCCTGTGCTTAGATGTCAGAGGCCCGCACCTTGGGATAAAATGAAAAGTATTCATCTTCGCATGAGCCTTAGTCTAAACCCCTAGTATCCCCCTTCATAAGCCCTACAGTACTCCCCGATGTATTCCCCCATATATCTCCTCTTTCAGGAGTTTAGACTAGAGCTCACATGTTAGTTTTCTCAAGATGGTGGTGCCCTGAGAGACCTTGAGCGCATATGAGGTTCATGAGTGGATGATGACGCGGTTTAGGGTTTAGCGTTTAGGGTTTAGGGTTTAGGGTTACATAAGCCTGGTGTCTGACCCGGTCATCGGGGCTGTGATAGAGATAATTATGGGAGATGTGGCGTTGAAGAGGAAACCCTGAAGCCTAAGAGGCTGGGGTGTACTATTGGCATCATGCAACGTCCATGACCAACAACATTAAACTACTCAAAAGGAAAGAGAATGCAGCCTCAAGAGCTCCCACAAGCTTGAGAATCATCCCTACATGAGCTGTGGTCTAAACTCCTAGTATCCCCCTTAAGAACCCCTATAGTAGTCCCCTAAATAATCCCCTATATAACTCCGCTTTAAGGAGTTTAGACTATAGCTCACATCATGCCGTCTAAAGGAGTCAAGATGCCGTCTTCGTAGCCCACCCGCCAACTGTGCTCCACGTGGGGGTCCCCTGTAATGGTGCAGTTCTCGAAGCATGGCGACGTCCAATCCTCAAAGCAGATTCCTAGCCCTTGGTTACAACAACCTTCCGCCCTCAATAGAAATATGGCGATATCACAACATATTTAAAATTTCGGGGTATCTCGGGGGGACCTGTCATGAATACTATGGCACATGGGGGTCTAGACTTGGGCCTCTTGTTGTCGGAAACACTCAGTTGGCTCCTTACAGAAAAAGTATGGACTGATCAGGGATCCACACCAAAGCGGTTATAGGGCCCCTAAACCGTGTGGTGTCATGGTCAACTGCAAGGTTAGAAACAGTTAGGGAGCTCGTCATGGTGTAGGGTTTAGGGTTGAAGGCTTTAGGGCTGGGGATATTGGAGAATGCGGATTCGAACTACAAAAACCTGCATCCAGAGGTTTACTAACACAATCCTAGTACTCCCTCCCCCTCATAATGTATAATGAGACCATATTGGGGGATCATTTTGAGGGGGATGTGATTCTTTGGCGTTTTTTAAGGTTACATAGACAACTTTATAAACATTCTGCATTATGTAGGGACTATATCGGGGGATCATGTAGGGATATAGGGAGGATTGGAAAAACAGAAAGAAATACCCTGTGAGAGCCGAGAATCATCGGCTGGGATGTTGGAGCATTGGTTGCAGTCACACTGCCTTTGCAAGGTGCGTCGACAACCCAAAACCTTAAACCTAAAGACCAATCGGGTTTATTTACGGGTCGGGGGCTTCAAACCCTAGATTTGGAAGTTTCTATGAATAGGGGGGGCCCAATATAGACCCTCAAATGCTATCCTTACATAGGTGAACCCCCAAAAATATTGCCCCTTAGTCTCCAAGCTGGAATACGGAGCTTTCCATATCCCTAATCTCTAGGCCCTAAACCCTAGCCCTGAAACCCTGAAATCCTATGATATGGTATAGGGCCCATGCGGGTGCCAACGGGACCAACACAAACGAGCATCAACAAAAACTAAAGCATCACTCTCAATCCGCAGCCCCTGACTCCTGACTTCTACACCCTAAGCCCTAAACCCTAAACTCAGACAGGGATTCAAATTTGTCTCGGGGCTTTGGGCATGTGTCAAAAGAAAGTCTGACTTGAGAGATTCCCAAACCAGGCGTGCCCTAGCAATTAGGAACCCAGGGATATACAGAAATCACTTGGAGATTCGGAGCCGTATTCTAGATGATACAAAATTATGTTTAGGGTTTAAGGTTTAGGGCCTAAAGCCTAAACCCTACACCCTCATTTAGGGCTCTAAGATCGTAGAGCCGAAGGGCTGACCCAGGGCCGTGAAGGCCCAGGCCCCGAGGAGGACGAGGCGGAGAGATGCCGCCATGACCACAATCGTTCCAAAGAATCACTCGAGCCCGCTGGGGTTCCGGATTTGGGGATTCAAGGTTTGAAGCCGAAATCGAGCATTTGGGTTTTGACCTTTCTTGGCTCGCATCTTTCCATCCTTACAGGGACATTTTAACAATATGTATTTTTATACAGAGAGAGAGAGAGAGAGAGAGGGAGAGGAGAGAGAGAGAGAGAGAGTTACCTTCTGCCGTACACGCATTCCTGGGGCAGATGCATCAAAATGAAGGTCGACTTATTCTCTGAAGAGTGCATACTGTCAACATTGATTTGCACTGGGCGAGTCTCGCTACCTTCACTGCAATCGCATGTTCTATGGACGGCTTAATGTTAGAAACATGCACCAAATCCCATCCGGACAGCCGCTTACTGTTTTGAGCCGTGGAATCGTTATCGGTCGCATCCACTTTGTGGCTGCCTCATTGCCAACAAGACTTCAAGCGTGATCCTGGCGGAATAATGGAAAGATAAGGCGCAAGCCCTGAAGGGAGCAACAAGATACGAAGCTTTAAACTTGCCAAGATGGTGACCTGGTCAGCATGGTACGAGCACTCGGCTGATACATGTGACCAGTTTTGAGTAGCAGCTGCCCGAAGCTTTTCATCTATGCTGGTCTAAGTGACTCTACCGCGGAACACCAGTGAAATCCATAATGTAGTAAAAACCGCGAAACCTAAACTTGATCATAACTTGGATCTTCCCTACTTCGATCTTACCCTAAAAGCGTTCATTTCAGAGCACCTGCCGCTCAAGATCAAGATTGCAAAATGAAGGGAAGGCCTTTCAAGATGGCCTTTGCATGCAGGCTCGAGTAATTCTAGCTAAGTACATGCTCCCATGAGAGAGTAGCTTCTTGTGCCATGTCATCATGGGAGTTCACCACTTCAACAACCACCTCTAGTCATCATCACCCCCGGAGATGCGGCGCCGCCGGCTTCCATCGTCGTCATCACCGCTGACGATGCGGCGACGACTCCCACCGTCATCGTCGCCCTTGAAGATGCGGCGGCGGCTGCTGCCATCGTCATCATCGCCCTTGAAGATGCGGCGGCGGCTGCTGCCATCGTCGTCATCCCCCTTGATGATGCGGCGGCGGCTGCTGATGATGCGGCGGCGCCGGCCACCATCATCGTCATCCGTTGGGTGCTTCCGTGTGGTGGTAGTAGGGAACGGAGTTGTGGTTGTGGTGAAGAACGGGCACGTAGGATTGACTGGAGGGAGCCCGGGAGTCGTCGTGGTCGTGGTTTTCGGAGGAGGTCCATAGTACTTTCCACACTCTGAACAGTAGTTGTCCAGTCCAGGCTTGAGCTTATGGACGAACTTCGAGTGGCACCGATGGAGGCACCAGTACAACTCTGCCTTCTCCAGCTTGAATCCATAGCAGATCTTGTTGCACATGAAGGTCTGATCCACGCACTTTGGCTTGTCATCATCATCGAAGCTGTCGTCGTCCTGTGGGGCATGACAATTGGTGTCACTTAATTGTTTCCTCTTTCTGGGGACTCCCGAAATTTTGAACTGCCAGCTCCTGGGCACCCTGTGATGTGTGGAGCCATATAGGATATCAGGGAAGTCCCTACTGATGAGTTTATCGGGGAGCTTTGAAAGGCCCTGAGACGAAGTCAAAACCTTAAACCATTACACTCGAAAAAAATCCAGCTGCGCATGCGAAATACATAACATAACTTACCCCACAAATCCAGACCAGCACCGGTACAATTAGCATCGCCCTTTTTTTATCACGTGCGGGGTACCTCAGACATGGCCCCCGCCCCATTTTGACGTCAACGCTGGCTGCACAAGGTTTAAAGACGCCCAAGAAAACGATCAAAACTCCGGCCATGTAGATTCTTCCCCTACTGGGGCACTCTAATGGCGGGCACTGATTACAAAACACCCTCCCCCTCCCCCTAACAAGTACATATCGAAATAATCCGGGGGGGTCCCCAATCAATTATGGGAAAATTTGGTTGGGAGGGATCCCAGAGGAACCCATAAACCCTAAACCCTACGCCCGAAGCCCTCAGGCTTAAGGCTTGGCATGTATTTGCAATTAAAATACCAACTAATCCCGTCCTCCTAACATTAAAACCCACCCTAATATAAAGAATTCAAATCAAATTTCAACTGGTTTGAAATGGTTTTTACTTCGAAAATAGTCGATGACAGTTGATTTTACAAATAGTTTAAATTGGATCTCAGTGGATTTCAAAAAGATGTTAATTCGACTTCAACTGATTTCAAAACGAAATTTAATGTTTTTAAAAGAAAAAATCAATTGAGATCGAATTAAAATCTTCTTCAAAATCCATTGAAATCTAATTCAAATTCCTTTTAAAATCAACTGGCATCGAACTAAAATCCATTTCGAATCAATTGAAGTCTAATTAGAAGTCTGTCAAAAAACAATTGAAATCGAATAAATTCCCTTTCAAATCGACGGACAATCGATTTGACAAGGATTTTAATTCGATTTCAATTGGGTTTTCAACACGGTCGGACACGTGGATATTGAAATCCCCCGCCGCAATCACGGACCCATTTGCCTCAAAGGTCTCCCGCCATAGCTGGATGAAATCGGACTCGTCCCCACCCGGCTTGCGGCGCAAACTGACGTAAGCAACATCACGAAGGACCTCGAACTGACCTTGTTCAGTGCGTGTGCCCAGGAACCTATCACCAGGCCAGGCCGCCGTGGCCCCGTAGTCTGCCCAGGGCATCGGAGTGAAGAAGGCATGGTAGCACTTGCGAAGCGCCACGCGGCTGATATCCACCCTCAGCTTATCGGTCACGTTGACCTCCGGTAGCATGACCACGTCAGCGGACTCGAACAAACCCTCTGAAATTGCAGCAAAGAGATTGTTATGTCCCTGGACATTCCATGAGAGGAGTTTTAGCATACATGCTGGTGATGGCCCGGGGTGCTCCTCAACATCCTCATCGTTGGTGAGGTCTTGCCTGCACTCAGTTGCTGGCCGGAGTTTGCGCTGGAACACATGGACACTAGGTGCTGCTGGCATGTCCCGCGCCTTTGCATGCCCCCGCTTAGCCTCACCCTGTTCCTTGCAGTTGCGAAGTTTAGGACCCACATCACGCCACTGCCATGGTGTAGGTGTCTCCGTAGCTTGGGGCCTGTAAACCCTCAAATCCACATTTTTGTAAAAGCATGTAAAAGCTAAAGGTGACAGTGTGGAGGCTACCCTCAAAGCTAATGCCCAACTCCAGCATGATCTGCTTCATGTTTCGCGATTGCTTGGTCCCGACTGGGGCCTCAGCACAATGTTTAAGATGATGCTATAACGGCTTCACGGAGAGGTCCCGTCAGATCGTTGCCCAAGACACGATAACAGTACGCACACATCCATTTAGGCTCTGCGCAGTCGAACAAGAAGGAACGCAGGGAGGTGAAGTGGGTGGATGGCATCCCCTTGTGGTTGATATGGTTGCTTCTTTGGACCGTTACCTGACGCATGGTAGTGCCGGCTGCCTCGAAATCACAATGATTGCATGGCAGTTTGCCCCGCATGGTACGTTGCTTCCTCCGTCGGACTCTGACCTGACGACATGCCGCACTACGCTTATTTCCACGTCCCTTACAACAAACCCTACACCGGCCCTCAAATTTCTGTTGCTTGCCACAGCTATTGCCTTCACCTGTCGTGGTCACGACCCCTAGACCCTAGCACCCTTGATCTATGAAACCGTACACGGGTCCAGGGTTAGGCGGGTTGCCCTGTGCTACCTGACGCTTCCGCTTGCTGCTGCTGCTGCTGCTGCCAGCTACGTTGTTCGCGCCAGGTGGATCCCAACCTCTAGACCAACGCTAGACCAAACCTGTGGAGGCCTAGGGACAGGTGGGCAGGGGAGTCCCGCGCAACACAGTGCTTTGTTTTGCTGCCACTAGCCGGCACGCTTGGGTTCGTGCCAACGTCACAACTGCTACCCCGGCTCTTAAGCACCCCGGTCCGGCGGGTTAGGGACGCCCTGCGCTGTTTGCTGTGTTACCAGCCCCACCCCGCGGGGCTGGCTCCTGCGATGCTGCTGCTCAGGCATCGGGCTTGATGTAAAAAGGGAGCTGCTGACTCATGCCGGAATGGCGCAAGAATACCGTGATTTTGGCTCGTGGACGCAGGTAGTACAGCACTCGTTCGGGCTCCTGCCGCCCTGAAGACCTTTTCGTCAGCACATCTGCAAGGCACAGCCTCAACATACTGCTCCCAAGTACGCGGGATCGCCTGTCCTGAATTTTTCCCACGCTGTTTGAGCTCCTCGGCCACCTCAGCTGGTATGCCTGTTGGCTCTGGTTCCACTGCAAAGAAGGATTGATAGAATGACCACAGACTGATGACCTTCCACTTCTTTTGCTATTCGCAATCTCAGCCCTTGCCCTTTAGCGGGGATTTGGCCCTTGAGATCCTCGAAAGACCGGCCTGTAGTCTTCATGATGAAGCCCGTGCTGCTGCAGTTGTAAAAGCAGCGCCCTTCTCCCCCACATTCTAGCTCTTCCCAAGCGGCCTTTGCTTCAGCCGGCGTCAGCTTCCGCGGCCGCGCAGGACTGCAGCTGCGCTCTCTAGCAAGCCGTTTCTTGGATCCTTCCATGGGCTTGTCACCGCCGTCGCTTTCCAACAGATTTAGATCGATAGGCGGTGGTGCTCCACTAGGCCGCCCGGTAGTGAATTCCGCCTCTTGACTGTCCTCGCACTCGCTCTGCCTGGAGAAGACGTCCTGCCGCCTCTACTGCAAGCAAGGGCTCACCATCGTCTTTGTCCAGGTTTGCCTTGATCAGCCACGGCTTCTTGTTTTCTGCCGTGAGGATCACTTGGGTGTTTGAGAACCCCGCGAGCACGTTGACTAAGTCATCCTCATCCCACGCGGCCGGGACCCCTCTTATTCTCCAAGCGGAAAGGAAGTGGGATCTCTGCTCCGGCGGCAGTCGAATGCCTATTGACGCTCCCCTGCCCTTCCTGAAACGCTAGC